AATAGCATGATCATTTACGCACTGCAGACCTGATATTTTACCTACATACAATGCGGTAACTTTGATCGGAGGAAAATCACTGAAAATATACCCCCAATAACTTATGTATAAATACCAAGGTAATATAGGAGCTGCATACTCCATGATAACTTTGACCAAGGGAAAAAGTCATTAAAAACATACCCCAATAATTTATGTATAAATGATATGATAATATACGAATCGCCGACATCATAACTACATACAAACACTGTGGCAACTTTGATCAGGGAAATATCAGGGGGAAAACATTTGAAAACATACCCTGATAACTTATGTGTAAATAGCATGATAATATGCACACCGCAGACCTGATAACTGTACAAAATACCGTCTAATTTTGACTCAGAAGAAAAAGTTATTGAAACATACACCGATAACTTTAGTGCAAACACCATGAGAACCTACATATCATAGGCGTGGTAACATACGTAGCCCAAGCATGATGACTTTTGATGCAAAAAAAAGATGTCGAAACATATCTACATGGGATCTAGTTTTCAAAATCTCGTTGTGACAGATTTATTGGTGCAAACGGATTTTCAATCGGACCAACGGTTTTAGATACAAACCATTTCAATTTTTTTGCGGATAAACCATTTCGAATGTTTTAAATAGGAAGAACCTAGGTTGTCATCGGTTTTTTCTTCCTCTAGTGTACACATGCATGTGCATGTAGGGAGAAGGTTGGTAGAATCAATTATGCCCCACTAATTTCTTTGTAAATAGTATGATAACTTACATACCGTAGGCATGATAATTAATGTAGTCTAAAAGTGGCAATTTTGGCCCTGACAAAAAAGTCATTGGAACATACCAATATATGATCTATTTTCAAATATTTTGCCATGACAGATCTAGTGATGAAAATAGATTTTTATCGGGTTTGTCGTTAGAGAGTTTAAACATTTTGCTCATATGCTAATAATCTTTGCTTACACCATTTTCTTTTGGATGCATGCATGTACAATTGCAACCGAGAAGCATACACACGCGACATGCAGAAAAGTTTGTGCTCCCACCAATCAACAAACGAACTTGCATGCATTCGACTTTATGCAGGAAGAGTCGTTCAGTTATGAGCCCAAAATCCTAACGTTCAACAGTTGTAAAGTTCTTTTTTAAAATGTCACAAATATTCTTTTTCCTAAATGTGCAAACATTTTTAAGTGTCACATGCATGTTTCTGAATGGTACGAAACATTTTTTTAAACTTGTGCCAATATTTTCTATCCATTGCAAAACAAAATTAGAAAGTGTGATGAACATTTTTTTTAAAACAAGTGAACATTTTTCTGAATCCTATCAAAAATTCTAAAAGGTGCTCAAACATTATTTTTGCACTACATGGACACCTATTTAATGTGCAATGAATGCTTTTAGAAAATCAAGTAAAGTAATTTTGAAATATCTATGTTTTATTTTATTCAAAATACAAAGACAAAGATACAATACAAACATATGGTACTCTCTCCGCTTCAGATAAGTGTCACTGATTTAATACTAATTGAGATGAATAGAGTAGTAATTAACGGGCCGGCCTTGTGCACAAGCTATAGACACGGGAGGTCCTTTTGGGCACTTTAGGCGCCAGGGCTCCCTGGTGCCCATGCGCCAACGCTGGTGGGCCAGCCAGTTAGAGCAAGACTGATTGCATTAGAAAAACAGAACGGATATTGGAACAAGTAAAAGTGGGGCTTTCAAGTATTTAAAAGATAGGCTATGGAATAAGGTAAAGGGATGGATTGAAAAAGCAATCTCTGCCGCAGGAAAAGAAATTTTAATAAAGTCTGTGACGCAAGCAGTCCCAGTTTTTTCTATGTCCTGTTTAAACTACCGAGGGAGTTGTGTGAACACTTAAATAAGCTTATCCGACAGTTCTTTTGGGGAAGCAAAGAGGGTAAGAGAAAGCCTCATTGGGTCTCTTGGCAGACGATGACACAACCAAAAAAGAATGGAGGACTTGGTTTTAGAGATCTTGAGCTCTTCAACCTTGCGTTATTAGCATGTCAGGCCTGGAGGCTGTTGACTATGCCTGACTCTCTATGTGCCAAGCTACTGAGGGCAATTTGCTTTCTGGAGGTAAGCATTATGGATGCAGACGTGGGCTCTCACCATTCGCAGGTTTGGCGGCCGTTGATCGAGGGAAGGGACGTGTTAGCTCATGGCCTGATACGAAGGATTGGAGACGGGAGTTCCGCAGAGGTTTGGACGCATAACTGGATTCCCAGGGATACTTCTATGAAACCTATAGCCTGCTTGAGGCCGAACCCACCAATTCTAGTGTCGGAGTTGATTGATGCTGCAAATGTAGCGTGGCGATCTAATCTTCTACACCAGTATTTCCTACCAATCGATATTCAGTCCATCACTAATATACCACTATGCATGATGCCTATGGCAGATTTTTGGGCTTGGCAGTTTGAGAAGAAGGGCTCCTTTTCGGTAAGACCAGCTTACTGACTGCTAGCAGAAACAAAGAAGAGAGTAGAGGATTTGCTTCAAGGTCGGGCGTCAGTATCAAACATGTCACAAGAGGAGAAGGGATGGACTACACTCTGGAGTACTAAGATCCCTTCAAAAATTAAAACATTCTTATGCAGACTTGCTAAGCAATCTTTGCCTACAGAGGATGTCCGAAAACACAGACACATGAGTATCATAGACAAGTGCCAGTTGTGTGGTACTGTTGACTCTTGGAAACACTCTTTAACGGAGTGCTCGATGGCGCGGTGTGTATGGGCACTGGCTGTTGAGGAGATAGTGGAAGTGATGGCTGATGCTAGAGAACCTAGTGCTAAACATTGGTTATTTCATGTCCAGGGGTCTTTATCACATGCTCAATTTGTGGAGATGGCAGTCACCTTGTGGGCGATATCGACAGTCAGGCGCAAGGCAATCCACGAGGAAGTCTATCAGAGTCCTTTGACAACGCACAAGTTCGTGAAACATTTTCTGGCGGAGTTGGAGACCATCAGTATGTTGTCCCAGAGGATGCTACAGAGACCAGCAGTTCGGGCTGCTGTGTAACAACGTAGGACATGGATTCCACCGCCGAATGGGTTCATGAAAATCAACGTTGATGCAGGACTCTCTGACACGGGTCTAGGAGCGGCAGCATCAGTTTGTCGAGACAGCACAGGCTTGTATTTGGGATCGTCGGCTCTAGTGATTCAAGGAGCTACTGATCCATCAATAGTAGAAGCTATAGCTTGCCGTGAAGCACTCTCGCTTGCATATAATCTTTCACTTCAGAATTTCCTTGTGGCATGCGATTGCAAAACAGTAGTTGATGACATTCAGAAAGGAAAGGGAGGAACGTATATGTCAGTCATCAAGGAAATCTTCATCTGTAGTTCTCTTTTTAATAGCTGTAATTTTATTTTTGAAGGGAGAGCATCGAACTTAGATGCACATAAACTTGCAAAAGATTCATTAGCACTTGATCAGGGTCGCCACCTGTGGCTGATTCACCCCCATGACCCCTTATGTATCCCTCTTAATGTCCAATTAGATGAATAAAGCTTGGGCATTTTTCTCAAAAAAAAAGAAAAATAGAACGAGGAAATTCGTAAAAAAAGAAAAAAAGGTGAATAAAAAAATTCATGGATTTTGTTTTTTTTTGTTTTTGAAAAAATATTCAAAGAAGTTTATCGAAAATGAAAAAAAAATCTTGCATTTTGAAAAAAAGCTCATTCAACTTGAAAAAAGCTTATCAAATTTGAAAAAAATTCATTGATTTTGAGAAAAGCTCATTGAAAAACAATTCATCAAATTTGAGAAAAAGGTCAACGATTTTTAAAAAAATTTATCAAATTTGGAAAAAATGTCTATCATTTTTTAAGAAAAAATTGTCAAATTTGAAAAAAGTTCATAGATTTTGAAAAAAAAGTTCATCAATTTCAAGAGAAAAATCACGAATTTGAATAAAGTTCATCGAAAAAGAAAAAAGGAAAAATGAAAGAAGAAAGAGGAAAGAAGAAAAGGAAGGAAAGATGCAACTAAACACGTCGGGTTATTCGGTTTTGTGGTAACTGCAGCGCGCGTTGAGGCTGGAGTCATGGGTTGGAATCACTCAGAGAGCACTTTTTTTATGGATTTTTGTGAATTAAAACACACAAGGAAAAAAGCTAGCTAAGTCGGCCCAGCGCGGGGGCACTTCAGGCGCCCGTTTAGAAAATACACGTTAACAAACGCCTGAACTGCCAAATAGGAAGTGCCTAGACACGCTCCTATTATTTGCACTACTCCAACCCCTAAAAAAATTGCACTATGCCAGGGGGACATCTCCAAGCGCCGGCCGACACGGGATGCCCTGAGACCCACCTTCTAATCCAGTACCTGGCGGCGCAGCCTGCCGCCATGCTACCGCAGTCCCCCCAAGAACACGGCGTTGGGACAAATGCGTAGGGGAAAAGAATCTTTTGTGGTGGCAGGGCCACTTCGAGAAAATCTGGATAGAATTTGAGAAAGCACATTGCAATTCAGTGGTTTTAATCCTTGGCAACACTATTCCGTGGTCCATGTTATAGTGGATTTGGCACAAGATAATAAAAGGCGATAGCAATCCTTCCCAAAAAGAAAAAAAAGGCGATAGCAACCTAGAATTGGAACAACATAGGAGCACTAATCAGGCTGCTGTCACACGAGAAAATGGCGTCTAGTCGGCAATTCGGAACAAGTGAACCACGGACGAGCACCTGTCACGTCCTTCGTCTGCGTAGATTACCACCGCGTGGCCCATGAAAAGACTCCACGGGACAGTGATGCTGAAACAGATGGCGTCTCCTCTCCGTGTTAGCCTAAAAAAAGAACGCATGGCGTCTCCGTGTGGGCTGCAGAAATCTTACCATTATTACTGGAGTCGGCACCTCGCCCACGCTAACACTCTACAACCGTAATAATGGCGTAATGGCTCATGGCGACGAACCGGGTTCTGGAACTAGCCGTGGTGGTAGTACATGCCCAGAGTACTCCACACGCATCGCTTTCCTCCTAATCTTGAAAAACCCAGACACGCACAAATTCGATTCGCTTGCCGCTCCTCCACACCCCCCGTCTCGTCTCCCAAACTTCAGCCTGCAACTACTCTCTCCACCTCCTCCAGCTTCCTAGTCCTGCTTTTGTTCTCGGTCTCTGCTCGCCTTGCTTCGCGAGGGAGGGGAGGGGCGATGGTGGGGTCGCCGACGAAGCGGCGGGCGATGAGGAGGCCGCTGGAGAAGGCCGGGATGGTGGGGCTCGCCGTCGTGGCCACGGCGACCGCCGCGCTGCTGCTGCTGCTCGTATGCACCGCGTCGCTACGATACTCTGCCGCCGTCGACTACGCGCTCGCGGCGCCCAGGAAGCTCTGGAGCGGCGGGGTCTCCATCGCGGCCGAGGAGTCGCCGTCGGCGGAGACGCCGAAGAGGGGTGCGGCGCCGTTGGCGGCAGAGGCGGAGGAGTGCGACCTGTTCGACGGGAGTTGGGTGTGGGACGACAGCTACCCGCTCTACGACTCCAAGGACCACCCCTTCTTGGACGGCGGGTTCCGGTGCTCCGAAAACGGCCGGCCGGACGCGTCCTATGTCAAATGGCGGTGGCAGCCGTCGCGCTGCGATCTTCCGAGGTTGGTTGGTTGGTTGGTTGGTTGCTTCTTGCTTGCTACCAGTACCCCCTCCATTTGGTTTATTTATTACGAAATCGACTTGAATACTACTATGTAGTTTTGCTGCCAAGCTTGTTGGTTATCTTATCGGACATGAATTTCCAGGCGAGATGAGTGCATAATTCGTATTTGTACTCACAAGTTCCAATCCATTACGGGTTCTTGGTCACGTGGATAGGCTGGCTGTGCCTGTGCAGTTTTTAATTTTCAGTTGGGCGAACTTGTCAAAAAGAAGAAATTAGCATGGCGATGGCTTAGTTAAATTACGGGTTCTAGCAATCAACATGTAAATATATTAGTTAACTGAATGGTATTGTTCAATTTTTTGCGTGTGACAACGATGTTACCATCTTTCTTGCCACATGTGACTGGATGTGGACTGTTCCTGTAGTTTGTCGAGTCCTCTCTTCTTTCTATTGTTATTAACATGTGTTCAGCTGCACGGTGAAATTAGGGATATGTTGCTGGTTTAGCTTTCTTAGTTAAATTTCTTGTTTTCACGCATGTGACTGCAGCAAATAGTTTGCGGTGTTTAGCACATGTGCGCGTGGGGCGCAGATCGACGACTGGGCACGGCGACGGCTGACGTGCGTCGGGCGCGGCGACCGGTGGCTAGGCGTGGTGGATGCGCTGCTCTGGAGTGCGTGGTGTGCTGCGGAGGGAGATCGTCTGCTCTGCTGTCGCTCGTGCGGCTCCGATTGGATCTGGTGTGAGCTCGTGCTTCGATCTGGATGCTGCGCGATGCGATGAGGTGTGGGTTGCTGCGGTGGTGGTGGCCACGGTGGTGTTGCGGTGGTGGCCGGCAGCTTCGGCCGGGGGGTGGTGCGTCTCTGGTCGCGGTGGATTGTGGGATCCCACGGTCAGACCGAGGTCGGCCTCAACAGGTGGTGATTAGTGGGCGGCGGTCGGTGGTGGTAGGTGGTCGGCGCATCTCCGGGAAAAATCTTTGCTCCGGTCTTCACCGGAGCCGGCGACGGCGGCGCCCGCGGGTGCCGTGATCTTTCTTGGAAGCGTCGTCGTGGAGTTGTGCTCCTCCTCCCCACGGCTTTGGCTTCAGAGGGAAACCTCAGATCTGCTGGATCGGGCGCTGGAGGCGTCTTCGCGTCTATCTCCTCCTTGGGGGCATCGTCTTGGAGCCGGCTACGATTGGGAGACTGGTGGATTGCGGCATCTTCGCCGTGGATGGCGGCATCTTCGCCGTGGATGGCGGCATCTTCGCCGCGTGGTTTGGTGAGGCGGGGCGCTGGGTTTTGTTTGGCAACGATGATGGCGTCGAGTGGAGCTCGGGTCGCGGCGTGGACTTCGGTAGTCGGTTCTTCCCGGCGTGTCCGAGGTGCTCTCCCGTGGGTTGCTTGGTTGCTTTGAAGTCGGAGCTGCGGTGGAGCGGGTCCAGGTGGTGACGATGACAGGCGCCCGGTGGTCGTTTGCGGTGTGCACGGTCGGCGCAAGTCCAGCATATTTCCCTTGTGAGGCTCGTTGTCAAAGTCGGAGCTGTCGGTTGCTTGTGCGTGTGGTCATCCGGTGGCATGTGCCGTCGTGGTTTGTCCATGTCAGTGGCCAGGTTGGCCGGTGGTGTCCATGTCATGTGGGTTGAGTTGTATCGATTTTAGCCCGGTTTTCCGTCAATTAACCAGGCAATGCTCTTCTTCTTAATCAATGAAAATGGCAAATCTTTTGCCTCGTTTCAAAAAAAGAAGAACAGAGCATTGTAATTAAGTTTGAACTTGCACGTGTGGTACTTGTGACAGTCTACCTTTACTTGGAATAACCGTACTAGTAATCTTACTGAGAATGTCAACTTCAAACTCTTTGCAAACGTGAATGCTACAAATGACAGTGATCGTCAATTTCTTTGTATTATGTAAGTTCAAGATTTTGCTTACTTCTAATCATGTCTACGTGAGCGGAGCAACCAGAACAATTTGCTTTTCTCCTCTAAACGTAAGTTATGTCTGCTTTCTAACTTATTATTATTTCTCCCATTTCTTAGATTTGATGCCAAATTTATGCTCGAGAAGCTACGGAATAGAAGAGTAGTATTCATTGGTGATTCAATTGGAAGGAACCAATGGGAGTCTCTGCTTTGTATGCTCTCTAGTGCTATTCCCAACAAGAAGTTCATTTATGAAATTAATGAAAGTCCCATCACAAAGCACACGGGTTTCTTGATTTTCAAGTTTAGCGACTACAATTGCACTGTGGAGTATTACAGATCTCCTTTTATAGTCCTTCAAGGCCGTGCACCAGCTGGAGCCCCTAAGGTTGTTAAGTACACAATTAAGGTGGATGCCATGGATTGGATGTCAGACCGTGGTAAGTGGAGCAATGCTGATATTTTGATCTTTAACACCGGGCATTGGTGGAACTACGAGAAAACGATTAAAGGGTAAGCAACTAATAACATTATGTTGACTTACTAACTTGTCCTGCTTCATTGTTAAATGTTTCTTGTAGATGTCGTCCTTTAATTTTACCATACCTTCTCCATGTTTATGAATTCACCTTTCAAATTCGAAATTAACATAGTACTAGTTATTAGTATACACACCAGCAGAGTAGTATTTGATTAGTAACACCCAATATTTTAATTTGTTCATGTGTATACTTTTCTGATAGCTATTTGACAGAACTATGATAGCATGATTCATGAGATTATTGAGGATATGGAATGTTAAGATGTGGTTAGAGCTAAATGGGTAATAAAGAGGCCTAAGAACTCTTTTGTTCTTCAATTATACATATTTTGAACTTACTAGTATGAGATTTCTTGTCCCCAACCTGCTTTATGTAATGATGATTGACCGGTACATCTGTATATGTAGTTAATTTCTTCTGGAACCACCACAACACAATTGCATCTTCCGTAGTTGACTTTAAACAAGGGTTTCTTTATCTGTGCCAGGGGCGCCTATTTTCAAGAAGGCAGTAAGGTGAAGATGAAGATGACTGTTATTGATGCGTACCAAAAATCAATACAAACACTCTTCAATTGGGTTCACAAAAAAGTTAACACAAGCAAGACCCAGGTCATCTTCCGTACTTATGCTCCTGTGCACTTCAGGTCTGTCTAACGAACCACTTATCTATCACTACTACATATTCCTTTTTATGTTTTCTTACCATAGCATTTTCATTGAGAATGATTATGTTTCAAGGCACCAAACAATCATCGCATGTTGCTGGCTTGACACAATATGTTTTGGGCTCAGAATTTATTCATTATGGTTTATAGTCGAACTTTGCCAAAACATTATTGTTCGATATATGATCAACCTTTCGCCAACCATTTTTACAATTTTACCGAATATATGAGAATACGGGTTGGGCTTTCGTTGGAAAGTGGTGCTTCTTGTATCTTGTATAGGAACTTGAAAAGCAAATAATGCAGGCTTCCTGACTTCTATGCTATAAAACACTAGATTAATTTCTCCTATTCCCATTTTCAAATCAATTTAACGTTAGGTGGACAAATTGACTGATCCATAACTAGAGTAATCCATGTTTTCCTTAGAGGTGGCGACTGGAAGAGTGGAGGGAGTTGCCACTTGGAAACTCTTCCTGATGCGACACCGTTTAAATCACTGGAGCAATGGGCTGACAAGCTTGAGCCTGTCCATAATGTTCTTGGGAGCAGCACAAGACCCAAGCTGCCTGGGTTAACTATACTGAACGTGACACAAATGACGGCGCAGCAAAAAGATGGTCACCTGTCAGTGTACATCAGCCCTTCGGGGCCTGTCCCCCTACGCAGACAGGATTGCAGCCATTGGTGCTTGCCTGGAGTTCCTGATACCTGGAACGAGCTTGTGTATGCCGTCTTCATGAAAAGGCAAACGATGATGGACCAAAATGTTTCTCTTGCTGCTTCAAGAACGTTGAACACAAGCTGACTAAAATTCTGTGGGTAGGCTACCTGATGCTCGCTTGGTGAAGCTTTGTATCTGAGGTTGGTTAGTGATCCTCCTGCACAATGATGCTGCAAGATAAGAGCTGGCTTGCAGGAAGCTGCACCACTCTAATCTGTTGTATGCTGAGAGGAGAGTGTGAATAAGAGCAAAATTAAAGAAAGGCATACCAATATCTATGTTTCACATAGGCAGCCAAAGTTTTAGCCGATGTGATCATAGATTAGGGGCTACATTCGATGATGTACATAGTTTATTACTTTATTTGGCTGCTGTCATATTGGGGGTGTTGCCGTGCTAATTGTATGTAATTCGGGAATTTTATCCTTAACGGTATGTTCTCAGTGGCTCCGGCAGTTGATTTGCACATTTCGGCATTTCTATCCCATCCGGGACAAATGTAAATATTTAATGAGAAATGTAATTGTACAGACATCTTCTGGGATGACATGGTAAAATGTATGATTTTCATGCCAATTTATGTTGTCGTGAGAACACTAGTAGAAAACAAGGCTTTGGTCCAGGCCGAGTAAGCCCATTAATTCCGGTTCAGTCACGAATCGGGACCCATGGGGGCATAGGTCCCGGTTCGTGAGGCCAGGGGGCCGGCCGGGCCTCGTGGGGCATTGGTCCCGGTTTGTCTGGCCCCTCTGGTCCCGTTCCAGACATGAACTGGGACCAATGGGCCTCACTCCTGGCCCACAACCTTTAGTCTCGGTTCGTGGCGGGAACCGGGACCAAATGTGGTCCTTTCGTCCCCGTTCCAGCCACGAAGCGGGACCAATGAGATGCCTATATATACCCACTTGCCCGCGAGCAAAGTAGTGGAGTGCTCTGTTTTTTTGGCCGGTCGTGGGAGAGCTTTGTGGTGCTCTAGTTCACCTCCTATGCACATGAGGTGTTTGATGAAATGCCCAAGCCACACTTAAGCTTTCTCCTCTCGAAGCTTCTTGTTCAAAGCCCATTTTCCTCTAGATTTGTCTAGGTTTGGCGGTCCGTCTTGTCCCGTTCTCATCCTCATCACCGTCGATCGCCCACGCCGATCTCGTCGCCGGCACCACCGTGGTGAGCCTCTTTATCTTATCTTCTTTCTAAAAGAAAAATATTCTTACTTGTATGATTTAGATAGATACTTGTGCAATTTTCTTTCTTTTATTGTTGTTTGTTATTATATAGTGCGATGGTTTTGGTATCCACCTCCACCAGCCCTCGTCCTATCTATGATTCGGATGTGGTATATGTTATCTTTTATAACTATTTGGTTCTTTCAGTGTTTATGACAATTATGCTGACCAACGTGACATAGATTTTTTTATCTAGGAGGTATATGAACCGGAAATTCCAACCGACCCTATTGTCGAGAGGTTAAATTTAGTTGATGAAGAAAATAATTACTTGAAGGAAAAACTGAAAAAATTGAGGAGGAGAAGATGATATTGGAGTTGCATGTTGCGGATGTCGTCGATGATCACAAGATCAAGATGGATGCAATGCGCTTGAAGATTAGAAAGATTAGAAAATATGTCATTCATACTGAGGCTTGGTATCATTATGTCGTTGGATCAATTGTTACCTTAGTTGCGATTATGATCGCATTTGTTCTTGCATTGAAATGTTTTACATAGTTTCAATGTATGGTTTAATTAGATGCTCTGGAGAGCTATATGTTGTTCAATGAGAACTACGTATGTACTTAGGTTTTAATGTGATGATGAACTTTTATTAATTTGGTCACTTATCTATTCATGATATACACGGATGGACCGACAATGGATGTACGATAACAGACACACCTCCGAGTACATTAAGGGCATGCATAATTTTTTCGCAGTGGCTGAGGCAAACAAGCAGAATGGTTTTATGTGGTGTCCATGCCCTATATGTGGGAATACGAGGTCTTACTCTGACTCGAAAACCCTTCACACTGACCTGCTTTATAAGGGTTTCATGCCACAGTATAATGTTTGGACCAAGCACGGAGAAAGATAGGTTATGACGGAAGACAACAAAGAAGAAGAGGATGATGACAACTATGTGCCCCCTGAATACGGTGATGCTGCAACGGGGGAAGTTGAAGATCAAGAGGAACCATACGATGTGCCCGATGATGATCTTCACCGAGTCATTGTTGATGCAAAGAGACAGTGCGAAAGTGTAAAGGAGAAGCTGAAGTTCGATCTCATGTTAGAGGATCATAAAAAATGGCTGTACCCCAATTGTGAAGATGGCAACACAAAGCTCGGTACCACACTGTAATTGCTGCAGTGGAAGGCAGAGACTGATTTACCTGACAAAGGATTTGAGAAGCTACTGAAAATATTGAAGAAGAAGCTTCCAAAGGATAACGAGTTGCCCGACAGTACGTACGCAACAAAGAAGGTTGTATGCCCTCTAGGATTGGAGGTGCAGAAGATACATGCATGCCCTAATGACTGCATCCTCTACCGCGGTGCGTACGGGGATTTGAACACATGCCCAGTAGGCGGTGCATTGCGGTATAAGATCAGACGAGATGACCCTGGTGATGTTGATGGCGAGCGCCCCATGAAGAGAGTTCCTGCCAAGGTGATGTGGTATGCTCCTATAATACCACGATTCAAACGTCTATTCAGAAACAGGGAGCATGGCAAGTTGATGCGATGGCACAGAGAGGACCGTAAGAAAGACGAGAAGTTGAGAGCACCCGTTGACGGGTCGTAGTGGAGAAAAATTAGGAGAAAGTACTGGGAGGACTTTGCAGGTGACGCAAGGAACGTATGGTTTGGTTTAAGCATCCTTTCGGGGAGCAGAGCAGCAATTACGACACCTGTCCTGTGACCCTACATATCTATAACCTTCCTCCTTGGCTGTGCATGAAGCGGAAGTTCGTTATGATGCCAGTTCTCATCCAAGGCCCTAAGCAACCCGGCAACAACATTGATGTGTACCTAAGGCCATTAGTTGAAGAACTTTTACAGATGTGGAATGGAAACGGTGTATGTGTGTGGGATGAGCACAAACAACATGAATTTGACCTACATGCGTTGCTGTTTGAAACCATCAATGATTGGCATGTGATGTCTACTATGCAACTTTATTCTTCTAGACACGTGTTGGCCTCCAAGGGCAGAGTTTTGTAGGACAATAGCAATTTTCCCTCAAGTGGATTACCTAAGGTTTATCAATCCGTGAGAGGTGTAGGATGAAGATGGTCTCTCCCAAACGACCCTGCAACCAAATACAAGAAATCTCTTGTGTCCCCAACACACCTAATACAATGGAAAATTGTATATGTGCACTAGTTCGGCAAAGAGATGGTGAAAAAGTGTAATATGGATGGTAGAAATATATTTTTATAATCTGAATAAATAAAAACTGCAAAGTAGCAAATAGTAAATGGGCACAAAAACGGTATTGCAATGCTTGAAAATGAGGCCTAGGGTGCATACTTTCGCTAGTGCAATCTCTCAACGATGCTAACATAATTGGATCATATAACCATCCCTCAAAGTGCGATGAAGAATCACTCCAAAGTTCCTATCTAGCGGAGAGCATAAGAATAAATTGTTTGTAGGGTACGAAACCACCTCAAAGCTATTCTTTCCGATCAATCTATTCAAGAGTTCGTACTGAAATAACACAAAGCTATTCTTTCCGTTCGATCTATCCTAGAGTTCGTACTAAAATAACACCAAAGGAAATTCATATTCATAATACTCAATCCAACACAAAGAACTTCAAAGAGTGCCCCAAGATTTCTACCGGAGAAACAAAGACAAGAACGTGTATCAACCCCTATGCATAGATTACCCCAATGTCACCTTAGGAATCCGCGAGTTGAGTGCCAAAACATATATGAAGTGAATCAATACGATACCCCATTGTCACCACAAGTATTCAATTGCAAGATATATATCAAGTTTTCTCAAATCCATAAAAGTATTCAATCCAATAACAATGAAATCTCAAAGGGAAAACCTCAATTCATCAACACCCAAGATAGAGAGGGGAAAACACCATATGATCCGACTATATTAAAAAGCCCGCGATACATCAAGATCGTGACATCTTAAGAACACGAGAGAGAGAGAGATTAAACACATGGCTACTGGTACAAACCCTCAGCCTCAAGGGTGGACTACTCCCTCCTCATCGTGGTGGCCACTAGGATGATGAAGATGGCCACCAGTGATGATTCTCCCCTCCGGTAGGGGGCTGGAACGGGGTCTAGATTGGATTTCGTGGATACAGAGGCCTTGCGGCGGTGGAACTTCTGATCTAGGGCTACCCCGAAGGGTTTTTGGAATATTTGGGATTTTATAGGGCGAAGAAGGGGTGCGGGAGGCCATCGAGGTGGGCACAACCAACTTGGGCGCGCTTGGGGGCCCAGGCGCGCCCTGGTGGGTTGTGCCCCCTCGGGGTACCCCCAGGTGCTGCTCTGGCCCATCTTGGGTGTTCTGGTCCATAAAAATTCTCCAAGGAGTTTCGCGGTGTTTGGACTCCATTTGATATTGATTTCCTGCGATGTAAAAAACAAGCAAAAACAGCAACTGGCACTGGGCACTGGGTCAATAGGTTAGTCCCAAGAAATGATATAAAATGACTATAAAATGATTGTAAAACATCCAAGAATGATAATATAACAACATGGAACAATCAAAAATTATAGATACATTGGAGATGTATCAGCCTGCTCTCAGTAACCTTTTAGGATAGACAAACAAGGGATACCATGCATGCACACACTGTTTAGATGACACCGAAAGTATATACCTGGATAAATGCATGAAGAATGTGTACCTGGGGCATCGACGATTTCTTCCGACCAACCATCAACGTCGAAAGAAAGGCAAGCATTTCAAAGGTGAGGCAGATCACCGGAAGAAGCCCACCGTCCGTACCGATGATCACATACTTGCTATGGTCAATGATTTACAAGTAATCTTTGGAAAGGGTCCCGTCGGACTATCTGTTTTGAATGACGCCAAGGGATGCACACACATGTG